CCTGCTGAAGCACTCCAGTCACTCAGAGGCATTACCAGAGCCTCCAGATAAATGGAAACATTCATCTAGATGATCTAAGGAATGTCAGTTTAGATATCAGATTGTTTTGCAATCATTTCTGACTGCTTTGACTGATGCTGGAGAAAGGTTGGAAAGGTTTTCAGCAAATTCAGAAAGATCACTTGGATTTGACATTCTTGCGCTGGCCCATCATCTTACATGGCTGGTGCAGAAATAGCTTTATTACACAAGTGATAGGACTGAAGCAAGGGCAACCATAGATCCTACTGCTCCGATTAAAAAACAGCATGAGTTTCCCACTTAGTGCTTTTTGTTTGTGCTTAGAAATGTATTTAAAAGGTCCTGTTTTATTTTAGCTAAAGAAAAGCAGCAGACCAAGGCAGTAGGGTGAAACCTATGTCTCACATGCAGCCCATTTCCACACTCGCCCTCTCAGCTAGTCTTACAACTCCTTCCAAACTAGCATTTTTATCTGAGCAAGAGCACAACTGCTCCTAGGCCATTAGACAGGAATGCAAGAAGCCTCCTGTATGAAACCAGTCCCTGTAAGAAGCAGGAGGCATCCTGGCCCTGGAGACTTCTCTGTCCTGAAAAAGATGGGAATGGGTAACCACTCTCTCCCACCAAACAGAAGAGGTGCCTTTCCTAAAGAATATGGCAAATGGCACATAAAAGGTTTAAAAAAAAAAAAAAAACCCAAAGTGGAAGAATGAATGAAATGAATCAAGTAATTCCTTGGAGTTATTAATCAGATGGCAGCTAGTGAGCTTTTATGGATAACACGGAAAGGTCCTTTTCTCAGAATACTATTCCTGTTCCCCAAACCTATTTCCTGAAAAGAAGGGTCAGTAATCCTATTAAGCCTAAGGCGCAGAAGCGCCATAAACAAAAATGTAATCCCCTACTTCCCCTAAGTCCCGCTTTTCACATCTCACTTATTCAGACAAAATACAAATACTTTTCAAATGAACAAAAGAAAGAGGATATACACTTAAAAAATACTACAGAACCGCAATCAGAACTGCAAATCAGGGAGAGAACTACTATGCAAATTTAAGTTTGTATCCAGAATTCTGTAAATCAAAAGTTTGGAAGTGTAACTAAGTTTGTGTAATTAAAAAATTCAGTTGTCACCTTAAAATGTACTTAACCTTAAAACACTGAACATTTAGCTAAGTCTGATGTTTGTATCTCAAATGATGTCTGCAGTTTATGATGCCTGTTGGCTATCTAGTAGCCTGGCATCTTAAGACTAGCAGAAACTCAATTAAAACACAAAGCCACTGCACAGTCTGGATATATTCATCTAGCAATTGATGCATGCTTAGAGGACTCGCTTTTAAGCAACTTCGACATTCACTAAAACACTTCAATGAAGAGAACTAAGTTATTTTTCAAACTGAACACTGATACTAAATCAGAATTTTAATGTAAGACATACTACTTTATTCCCCCCTCTCTCTTTTCTGTTATAAAACCCTGCAAGATAAAAACTTCTATATAAATATTTAACTATTATTTTGGTGTTTAAATACAGTGCTTCAGACAAAACTGAAGTGTTTTGAAAAATACAATTCTTTCTGAAGAAGCAATTCGTTTGGGGAATATTTATTGCTAGCACAATTAATCCCACAGGTCTTGAAGTTAACTTGTCTACATGATCCCAGGAGGTTTTATTCTTCTTTGAAACAGTCATTATTTCTTTCTTGCATCTGGAGAGGGTTATTGTAATATATTTGAGTGACAGCATAATGAATGGAAGTTAAAGGCGTATTTCAGCCAAAAGAGAAAAAGAATGTTTTTTTAAGCTAGAAAAAAATGAAGTCCTTAGAAGAGAGAAAAATACCCAAACAAAATGCAGTCCAAGAGCAAAGAATTTGCATCTACTGATTTTATAAAAACTTGTAAAGTTTAATTCTAAAATCTTGACAAATAATCAAAGTTGTTTACCAATTTGTATGCAAGATAAATCTAGTCAGTCCAAGATTCATCTAGTGGATATCTAAGGCTTGATATAAAGTAAACCTTCCAATAAGGGTATTAAAAAAAAAGTGTAGTGTTTCAGCACTTAAATTTCTACCATCCACCAGCAAAGGCTGAAAGGGAACCAAAAGGGAACTGAACAGGAACTGCTGAAACAAGAATGTAAAAAGACTTGAACAGATGGATAAACTGTATATTCTTAATTATTTACAACATAGCTATTGCTCTTCTGTCATGAGGGTGTCAGAAGGCCTATATCTTCCTCAAGGTCTATGAAGAGTTTCTTCCCTTTCCATCCAAATGCTAGATTTACACAGATCACAAAGAAACTGGTATTTTGATACACTGAACATTTATTGTCTTTCACAAGACAAAATGAAATTTCCCCTGTCAGTTAAAAGCCATCAAAATGACTGTAAAGGGGACAGGGTGCAAAATTCCAGTGTACAGTATACAGAACAAATTACCTCCCTGACTACCTGGAAGAAAAAAAAAGATGATTGATCAATCTCACTGCAACTAAAAAAGCAACAGGATTATAAAATATTTACAGAAAGAAAAACAGTACAGAAAATAAAAACTTGACAACCATGTGTGTGTATGAAATCCTGCTAACATTTTTCCGTCTCATTAAAAATTTGCTCCACTACCCTCACCAGAGCATTCACGAAGTGAAAGGTTTCCAGGCAGAGCATTACACAGCTCTGAAGAGCTGGTACCGCTACCTCCCGCACCAAGGAAGGCGAGGACTCGAGGAAAGCAGCATCACCTCTTGACTGCAGTTTCCTTCCACTAAGTAGACATGCTAGTTCTGAAATGAGGTCCCGTCACCCCTTATCTGCTGTGGTCTTGATTCAGAGCAAACTGGCAAGTTGACCTGTGGGTAGGTATCTATTCCCTGTCATGCGAGCCCTCTCACTGCTTGCAGGAGGGCCTTTTCTTCTCCTCCTTCTGCGGGAGTCTGGTCTGTGTTCGGAGAGCAGGAAAGCTGATTAGGACTAGGAGAGGTCACAGGAGACCTTCCATTTCCTTCATGAAGGCTTCATACACATCATCCTTCGTCTGTACGGAGATGGGCGCAGACGATCCGGCCTTGGGGGCTGCTCCGCCTTGGGGTTGGTGATCTGCGGCTTGGCGCTGATGGTGGCCGTAGCCTTCTTCTCAATGGTGGCCGCGCTGGTGTCATCCGCCTTGGGACGCTGGATCAAGCTGGGGGGAGCACTCAGCACCCCAGGATTTGGAATGGGAGTTGGTGGGAAAAGCCCAGGCGGGGCAGGTCCTAACGGAGGCACCAAAGGTGGCCGTAACATGCCTGGGCGAGGAGGAGGGATACCTGCAAGAGAAAGAGGAAGTAGGAGCTAGCTCCACACTGGCAGCCCCAAAATCTTTGACGAAAAAGTGCACAGCTTAAAAAAAAAAAGTGAAGAAATACCAACAAGATACAACTGCACTGGCTTCAGAAGCTTTCAGTCCTGCACTAACCACCGATTCCCAAAAGGAAGGAAGAAGTTCCTCGGCTTCCTCAGCCTTTGGTATCTACAGGTCCCTGCATATTTTTCCACCTAGATTATCCTAAGTGGAAAACAGAGTGTTTTGGCAAGCCACCTGGCTGAAATTTCAGAACCATCAGTCATATTTGATCAGGTTGCATAAACTCCCCCATCATCACTGCACTGTGGCTTTATTCATAAATACAGTCCAGCAAAACTGTGAATTTTGAATCTCCTCCATTTTTTTAAAATGACCGATTTCTTCCTGGCAAACAATAGCAATTCAATATTACTCAGTACGGTTAGATAGGAAGATAGACAGAGATAAGGGACCAACCAGGAAGAACTTCCTAAGGGAGTATTTTTAGTCACATAGAGAGGAACACAGACAAAGTAGCAACAGGGCACTACTCGAAACCAAAAGGAATATCAGCTTTCCCCACAGTGAGGGTTCCAAGTGTGCTACGATAGGAAAGCAAGGAGAGACCCTGTCCCAGGGCGAACAGAGAACGTCACCTGGTGGAGCCGGAGGTGGCAGGCGAGGAGGTGGCCCACGTGGTGGAGGACCTGGGGGCAGACCTGGCGGGGGACCAGGGGGAGGGCCAGGCGGTCGCCCGGGTGGGGGGCCTGGTGGTAGAAGTCGAGGTAAAGGCCCACGCAGTCCTGGCAACCCCGGAGGTCTCAGGAAGGGAGGAGCTCCTGAAAGCACACGTGAAGAGAATCTTCTTTAACAGATAAAAGAACCATCACATCAGGCAACACTGAACTCGAAACGTGACATCAACTTAAAAACTACGTCTATTACTAGTCTGCCGTCCTATTAAATACATCTTTGGAAAGTCTCAAGAAGCAAGAGCAATCCTAAGTCAGAAAAAAAGTTTCTTGGTAATAATCAGGTACATTCCTCTAACTGGAAAAGTTCTATACTCTCCCTTAAGATGCCTGGTGTTAGGCCCTCTTTAGTTCCTGGTACTTCCCAAACACACTAAAAACTGAGGTGACCATTTTGATGGGCAGGCACATGACCAAATCACTTTCTCAAACTACATGTTGTTCCTATGCCAGAAGTTTTCTATTTAATGAATGTTTCAGTGATACTATCTTACACCTCAAAATCCTGTCACAGTTGTTCAGTCAGGCAGCCTTAACAGCTTGCCTTCTTGGAGGGTGCACACGCAGCTCTCACATCACAGCCACACACTTCACAGTAATATGTAACACCCTGATGTACTGAAACCCACACAGATATAATGGAACAAGTCCTCTTTCTTGCTCCAAAGAGCTATTTCACTAGCTGACTTTTGGTTTCTTCACAGTCCAGCAATGGCTCTGCTAACTACAAATGAGCTAGTATCACCAGGCTGCCTATAGTCATATGCCTGATGCCTCAAGAGCACAGTGCAGCAGTAACAGATGTGAGAGACCACATGTGTCTCAGCAATTGCCACACTGGGCTCCCATTCCTCAATCACAACATATCCCCATTCTGCAGCTTTGTAACGCACAACTAAGCGCCTGCCTGTGATACTGAGCACCTGCAACCTTCAAACTGGAGAAAAATCAAGCGTTCACCTGGTGGCGGGCCAGGGGGAAGGCCAGTGGGTGGACCTGGGGGCCTCAGTGGAGGGGCTGGAGGTGGTCCTAGAGGAGGTGGCCCAGGCATGGGAGGTGCCTGTATCTGACTTTGAGCAACCGATTGTGACGAAGGTTGTTGCTGTGACTGGGAAGTTGCAGCAGATGACCCAGTCTCTGCAAGAGCTTCCTCACTGTGTTGTTGCTGCTGCTGCTGCTGCGATGTCTCTTCAGACTCTGAGTCCTCTTCCTCCTCCTCCTCCTCTTCTGAATATTCCTCCACTTCTCTCCCTTCCTCTGGGATTTCCTGACCTGAAAACAGAGTCATATTTATAAAATCAGCTCTCAGCTACTCTTTTTTTGAATACTACAGAGAAGCTTAAGTACACAAAATAAGAAAAAAACTTCCCTTTGAAGGAAAAATAAAGCCAACCACATTTAACTAAGCAGAAAAAATAAAAGCAAGACAGAGTTCTAGGTAGTGCTGCCACCTAGAGCTATACTTTCCTGCAAGGGCTAAAACTTCTACTAGCAAATCCAAACTTGAATCCCATGATAAGGAAGGATAAAAGAGAGCATGGAGTAATTTCTACCACCCCAAATACCGGTCCACTTGCACAGATCTGTATCACTCACCTGCCATTCGCAACATCATGGCTTGGAGCGGAGTCAGCTCTTTCATGTTTTTTTTCTTTTTTCGTGATTTCCCAGGCATGTCTGCAAACCGTACACTATGACCTGGGTAAAACAAAGCAAGGAGGAGGAGGAAAAAAGTAGGTACATTGAAGTTTTCTATCTGGAGTGCAAAACACATTATTTTAAAGTAATGATGCTCCTGTGCAAGAGTTAATACTGGTACTATTGACTTTTTAAAATTGGACTAGCCTGTACCACTGGTATAATTTTCTATCAATTGAACTTCCCCAAACAAATCAAGAAAAAAAAGTCTAAAAGTACATCATGTAAAGTTTCAAAAGTGCCTTCAAAAAGTGTCATTCAAGTCACTCAATAATGACCGTATTTTACTAAATGAAAAAAATGCTTATTTTCCATAGGGTCCTGTGCTAATTCAATGTTTTATGCTAAACATGGTTTGTGACCTTAATACTCTTAATTCAGCTGTTAAGAATATAGCTCAATCCGGAACATACAAGGCATGCTTAGATATTTCACATCTGGATAGTTTCATATAGATCCACTTATAAAAAAAAATCTTTAAGTTCTCCAAGTGATGTTTAGGAGAGCTAAAACAGTAAATTTACTAATTGTGTGTGTGCATGCACATATACACACACACAGATACATTTTAAGTCAATAAAACAAACTCGTCATAAGTTAAATAGCATTTCTCTTTTAAAATATCAAATCTAATCCATGAAACTTCCATCAGACCTGATTTCTTCTCTTCACCACCTTCCCGCTCCTTGTCATTATCACGATGCAGGAAATCCTCAGCTTCACTGTCTGCATCTGACCTCTCACTGTCACTGTCATCACTGCTCTCATCGTGCTTATCTTGATCCATATCCTCGGGATAGCCTTCATCTTCACTGGTACTGGAGATATCATCATGCCCTCGCTGTCCTGCAGGCAGCAAAGTATCAGGAAGCATATAAATTCCAAATACACAGGTGTGAAAGTTTCAAAAGTCTGCAGTTAGAAAATCTCCAGTTTAACAGAATTATTTTTTGTCATTCCTTTATTCTTTAATACCTGTTAATAAGGAATATTTGGGGGATTCTATTCATAAGGTTTCTGATTCCTCTAAGTCTGCTGGCTAATTTCTGTGAAGACAACTCTCACCCAAAGCTCACTGGTTCATTTCTATCCAGCAATTTCTTCCCTTTTGAAATACTTTAGCAAAGCTGATTATTTCATTTGCAAAAGTTTCTAGACACTATACAGTGACTGCATGAAAAAGGGACTCTAGGTTCTGCTAGCAAGTACATGCTCAGGTTTGTTTCAGTTCTGTTAAAAAAGGAAAAGACTTCTCCAAAAAAGTTTAAAAATGTGTTTTTACACACACACACACACACACACACACACACACACACAGGATATTTAGCCTATGCAACTCCATGAAGAAAACAAGTATCTGAAAATTCTCGTTAGTAGTTTCAGCATCTAAAATAGACACTAATAAAACTGAAGATATTAAATTATTAAACATATCAGAACTACCTCACTTGCACAATCACTTAGGATGGAAACCCTCCTCAGGTAGTATAAACATCTCCATTTCACAAAGAACAGCTTGACTAAGGCACATTCCATGTACAATAAAACTATTTGTAGCAAAACTGAGATGTCTAAGAAAAATGCAGATGGAGATAAAGTCTTTTACCTGCTTCAGAACTGTAGGAAATGTCTTCTTCTCGTCTTCGAGGAGCCATCTCCAAAGCGAAACCCACCTTGCGCCCATACATTTGTAGGACTTGGGGTGGGGGTGGCCCTGGAGGAGGTCCAGGGGGCTTCCGGCCTGGAGGTAAACGTGGAACACCAAGCCCGGGAGGTGGAAGTACAGAAATGGACCGAAGTGGTGGTCTGAAAATAAAAAAGAAAACAAATCCAGACAAACATAAATGAGATTAATGGAATTCTTTACTCCTCCTCTCATCACCGTTTCTACGGAAACATTGTATAAACAAATATGAACATTAAAAAAAATGCTCTGCCTTGAGGAGTTTACAACCTCATACAAAGACACAACCGTACAACTAACATAGATCAGAAAAAAGAAACCTTTTCAGAATACAATTTAAGAGAAGACTGAAATAAACCAAATATTGAATACCATCACAGAAGCTGAATGAAGACCTCAAAGTTAGTGAAAACAGAAGACTATTCACAAAGAGTCTAGAATAAGAAATCACGCTAACAAATAGAATACTAGCAAAACAAAAGAAAACATACAGAACAACCTAGGGAGCATTCAGGTTCAAACAACATGGCAAGGTTTTAAGCTGAATTAGTAGGCAGAAAGATGAATCCTAGAAGGCAGTGTACTACTCAAGCCAGCTTAACAGTAACAACAACAAAAAATAATACTAGGCAAATATGAAGAAGGGATTTGACAAAAGCAAGTAAAGTACAATTCATTCTCTCAGAATTTCCAGTTTCTACTACTCAAAACTACCTCTACCACTAACACATAGCTCCTCCTCAGTAGCACCAGTGCTACTTCTCACTTTCTCTCCAGGCTGTTTTTCCTCTTACCCATAGGCTGATGTCTTCTTGAGGATAGAAGGTGGTTGTGCACCAGGAAGGGGAATGTCCTGTATGAGGATGTTGGAAGGTGCATGAGGCATATCTGGTAAGGGGATACTTTCCACTTCAACATGCTGAGCATTCTGGAAAGACAAGAGGGAAAGGAAGAGAGACACACACACACACAGAATGGGTTAATCCCACAGAAGCTTCTTCACACCACAGCATACAGATCAAAAGTGCAAAATATGTTATTTTGCAGCAGTTCTGCCCACGTCCTGCCCTCCCCCCCCCCCCCCCCCAAAAAAAAAGAGGAGTCTGGAGAAAAATCAATAGTAAAATCCTCCAGCACACGCAGCAACCAGGAAAAGCTTCAGTATCTTAACCATAACCCAGACAGGTTTCCGTCCCCCTTTACACTGCAGTCCTCAAAGCAAAGATAATGCAGACAACTATGCTTGTTCTCTTTCGGTTATCTAGAAGCATGAGACGGCATGAATCATGGGCTGCTGCATGTTCCAAAGAAAAAATCATAAAGCTGACCAAGTGCAAATATCTATATGTTCTCAGTATGGCAGGAACAAATTTCACCAAATCACAGAATGGTTAAGGTTGGAAGGGACCTCTGGAGATCAGCTAGTCCAGTCCCCTGCTCCAGCAGGGACACCCAGAGCACATGGCACAGGGTGACATCCAGGGCGGGGGCTGGGAGGGTTTGAAGATCTCCAGAGAGGGAGACTCCACGACCTCTCTGGGCAGCCTGTTCCAGGGCTCCGTCACCCTCACAGGAAAAAAGTTCTTTCTCACATGGAGATTAAACTTCCTATGTTTCACCTTACACCCGTTACCCCTCATCCTGTCACTGGCCACCATGGAGCAGAGCCTGGCCCCATCCTCCCTACAGTCATCCCTCAGGTGCTTGAACATGTTGATCGAACCTCCTCTCAGCCTTCTCTTCTCCAGACTAAAGAGGCCCAGCTCACTTAGTCCTTCCTCATACGATAGATACTCCAGTGCCTTAATCATCTTTGTGGCCTTATGCTGGACCCTCTCTAGAAGCTCAATGTTCTTCTTGTACTGGGGAGCCCAGAACTTCACCCGATACTCCAGGTGCAGCCTCACCAGAGCTGAATAGAGGGGGAGGATCACTTCCCTCGACTTGCTGGCAATGCTCCTGCTGATGCAAGCCAGGAAAATTTCAGGAGAAGCTCTTTAAGTGAATGCCAGAGGGGTCTTATTTCCTTCACACTGAGATGAAATTCACAGAACAATCTACCACACTTTCACAGATAAAGCCCCTTCATTTTTAAGTGTCACACCTGAAGAGGGGACAAAGCACATGCTACCACAGCTACAGGCCTATAATCACAAGCAGTATTACCTTGACAGCATCAAAATACTGGCTGAGTTGTGATCTCTTCTGCTCATATTCCACTTCCAACTTGCGCAGCTCTTTATAGATATCAGGATTCTCCTTCTCATAGAGGCGCAAGATGCGCTCAAAAGTCTCACGCAGTTTTTTGCGCTTATCCTTTAACACTTTTTCATTAAGTTGCGGCTGTTGTACTGGGTTAAACTCTAATCCAAGATAGGAAAAATAAAGCAAAAATTCAGAAGCTACACTGCAACTGATAAATGAAACAATTCTAAAGCAAACTATCTCCCATTCCTATTCTCGTGAAGCCTCTGGCCTTAACACAACCCCTTAATTCAAGTTTAATCTGTCATACAATCTACCTAGTCTTTCTTGCAGTCACTTTCTCCAAGAACGTTGCCTTCAAAAACAACAAGTCATTTCATGAACTCCGTATTTATTCAGATAATCTCTGCTTCACAGAATTTCTAATAGGAAAAGATAAGGCCACTTTGCCTGTTTTAGTCTCAGCTGTCCATTAGGACTATTGTTCTGTGTGTGTTTAAAAAAAAAATAAAAGAAACCTAACAAACCATTTAAGTCCAGCAGTCAGTACTGCTCACTCACCCATCTCATCCAATTTTTCCATGTCTCTTATAATCTGCTTTGGATCTTTCATCTTTAACACAGCTGCTCGTACCATCATCCGCTGCTTTTTGTTCTGATATCAGGAAACAAAATGAGAAAAATGTCACAGAAGAGACAAAGCTTCTGTATCAAAGACTTGTCTCTCAGTAATCCCAGACTGAAGAAAAAGGCATTTCAAAACACCCTGCACATCTTAACCACAGTACAGCCAGAAACAAAGTAATTTAAACTACGTTAAGTTTTAATGCCACTCTTAATTTCCTAATTCATTCACTCCAATTAAGTAGTAAATCATCGGCAAGTTAAACCAACAAACCAAGAACACAGTAAAACAGGCCAATGATTAAGCTTTTATTATTATTATTATTATTATTATTATTAGTTCTAAGAACTTAAAACAATGCTTTGAAAAGCCTTAATCATTTCAAGCTAAAATATAGTTGATTAAAGTGATACTGTCACTCAAAACTAAATATCTATTTCCTCAAAGTATTTGTTTAGACAGGATTTTCCAAAATGAATCTTGCAAAATCCACTGAAACATCTGCAGGCTACTCATCAGTTATGGCCCACTGCAATTACAAATACGATGCATGGTACAGGAGATGTCAAATAAATGTTCCTAATCTCTTTATTTACCTTCTTTAGTTCCCTTTTCCGAGCTTCCTTACCTAGAGAGGAAAAAAAATAATTAAAAAAAAAAGAACTTGCAAGAGAAAAATCACAAGCATGAAGAATCTCACCCTCATCAGAACTACTCCCATGTTTCTCAACAGCTGTCATTTTACATCAAAACAAAACATTTTATTCTCATCTTCTTACTGAGAAAAATTTACTTCTAGCTGCATTTCATTAGTGCCATACAGAAAAAGACTGAAAATCTCCATGCTTGTCTGTTTCTACACAGACAAGAACTAAAGACCACAAGTCAGAAAGTTATTTCCAGCAATTAAAGGACTGCTGCCCAGAATCTGTTTGTAACAACAGACAGTGAACTGCACTTTTAACCAAAGTACATTTTGAACACGTCTAAAATAAAGCATATTCACAATGGCAGTCTGGGTATTGCTATCTGCTTAGTGTTGATAGCAGGCTAGACACACTGTCAAAATGAAGGAAAAAAAAAAAAAAAAGACTATTTACTCATCCAATCAGAGTATTTACAAAATTCAACACATTCCTCAGATTCTAGCTTCAGGAAGATTACCTATAACACAAAAAGTTTGCAGTTTAACTGACCGCTAAGTAAAGAGACCTTAGAATATTTATAACGAAAATAACAGCTAAAAGATAAGTATTGCATGGCAACAATAGCACGCAAGAGAGCAGCTTTCTTGGGAAGTTTTTATACCAACCAAAGATAATATTTCAGAAATGTGGGGAAGATGGTTCATATTCACATAAAAGAACTTTTCTTCTGAGCTACAGGAGTTTTATTTTTTGTTTGATTGTTTTAAATTTGTCATTTCAAGACCCTATGTTCATATCCATTTAACTTTTATGGACACTTACGGGCCTGATCCGTGGGATTCATGAACTTCCCACTCTTGGTGGATGATGTAGATCTCCGCCCCATCTTGATCCTTTTTCTTCTGTCTCAAAAAGATAATGGGAAAAAAAAAGACCTGGAAAAGATAACAAAGTCTCATATCCTGTTCACTAATAAACCAAGAATGATTATTCTCCCCTTCTCTAAATCGGTAGGTTGCTCCCTCAAATTTTGCTTTTCAAATTCCTGCATTTATAGCAGAATTATCCCTCTTTTAATCAACAGCAAGTTAGCTACTCACTTCAAGGCCTTTCCAGCTCAGGTTACCTGGGGGAAGGGGCAGAGGGAAATTCACACGTTTATGCTTTCTAAGAGCGCGTCACAGACCTTCTCATTCTTCTGCTTACTCCCCCAAGACCTCTCCAGTTTTCACCCTTCTATTCCCATCCATTTCGTATGCTTCCTGCAAATATCCTCCTTTCCTCACTTCAAAGATGGCCATGATTGCTCTCCCTAATACCCACTGCATCCATCAGCAAGCACTCCACAAACATTCACGTCTCTTTCTTCCTACCTCAGATCACGGCCATGCAAGCATCTTTATGCTCTTTACCTCCATTCCTCTACCACTATCATTTTAAGTTCTGTTAAGATAGGCAGAGAAAGGAAAGATAATTCTGGAAAGAGTTACTTCCTGTTTTTGAAGCATTTAAAGAAAAAAAAAAAAGTTTCATCCCCAAAACCAAGTCATCTGCAAACTGAGAGTTGATGGGATGCAGTTTTCCATCCACTACATTGCATCCAAACAGACAGCAAGTGTCCAGACACACTCAAAAGATTCGACAGCTTCAGGCCAAAGTTTTCACTTGCAGCAGCAGGTCCCACACACTCTGCTCCCCTCATTGCAAAAGCTGCGCCTTTCAGACCACTAGTACCTCCCCTTACCTGCTACAAATAAATCTAAGCATAAGCCTCATTTAGAGCCTCAGCATCTCACAGAACAAACTCCCAACAAGCCCCAAGGTCTAATTGCAAGGACTCCCGGGTTGTGACCACGCCAGACCATGCAAACAGCCTGCCATGAGCAACCCACGGTCTGTGCTCACCAACACCACACACGTCCTAGTTATAAGAATAAATTACACTGATTTTTTTTTCCTTTACCAAGACAATACCAGTTCTTTAGCTGGGAATGCTTAGAGGATAGGCCTACGAGTTGCATTTGCACGCTGCGCTTCCCGAATTTCTAATATTGATGGGAGGGAACAGGGATGGGAAGTGTCCCATGAGGGACACGGCAGCCTCCTCTCCTCTGCCCTCCCCTCCCCCAACAGGGCCGGGAGGTGGGGAGGGGGAAGGACAGGGAGAGAAGGGAATGGGGGTTAAAGAAGCTGGTGCCGGGCGCCCTTCCCCTGCCGCCCCCCCCCA